GCCCAAACATAATATTCACTTAAAGTTATGGTAACTTCAGATTACAGCCAAAACTACTGCTAACCAAGAAGGTATTCAATTAATGAGACACTGCATTCTAATCATAAGTACGACTGTGAGAACAGCATATCAAATTAGCTGTATTCATTACTGGGTTAATTTAGTTCTGATCTGTGTGGGTACATGTGGCTTTCTCTGAGAACAATTTAATTAACATTAACTCCAAAAACAACATGACTGTTGAGTACAGTTGTCAAATGAAATATGTGGATAAACATTATCAGTGCAAAGACAAGTTTAATGAAGAAATATTTTAAAAACTGGCAAGTCTTGGTTTAATAAAAATACTTTGATAAAGAAACAAGTTCTTAAAGCTATTATCAACAGGAAATATGTAATTCAAGTTTTCAAAAAAGCAATTACATTATTAATAATCATCTTTTTTAGATAAACTTTCAAAAACTCCTATAAAAAAATTTATTAAATAATTACTATGTAAATTTGCACTACAAATATATGCACCAACAGTGGACTGGCATAAAATGGCTGAAAAATTATAGCTACCTCTTCTTGTTCAAGGTGTTTTCCACGTTCTTCAGGTGACAAACTTTTGGTCTCATTCAAGAACTTAGCTATAGTTGAACCATTAGCTATTGAGAATAGTAATTAGAAAATAATACTGTAAACTATTAAAGTGATCATACAGAAATGTTAAGTTACAATACAAATTAGAACAATATTCTAAATGGTAAAACCTTTCCTTTTTACAGTCCGAGATACTACAATAATATCTATCATTTAAAAACAAGATGGTTAAATTCAAAATACGTTTTAGTTATACTTTTGTGTTCAAAAACATTGTACACAAAGTATAAAATTTTACATTCATTTCAAAATACTAAACAAATTTATTATGAATTCATAATTACTATTAGCTCATAGCATATTAGTTAAAAAACTGATTGTATTAATAGTACAGAAAGTGAAAATTACATATAACTCAAAATGCAAAACTGATAGACTGAGGCATAAAATTCCAAAACTATAGTAAAGACATACATTTAAAACATGAACTAATTATTTCAGACAAAATAGTTTACTAACTAGCTTTTCTTAGCCATCCTTTCCATCACATATTTATTATGCTTTTAAAAACTACAGCAGATCTTTTAATTTCAGACAAAGCTGTAATTCATTAACTATTATATATTTGTTCTCCATTATTATGTATACATGATTAATTTCATATCAACACATTTTCATGGATGAAATTCATAAATACATAAAGATATTTGTCGTGATATAGTCAATACTGTTACAATTTCATTTAGTATATTTAGTTCCTGTATAATCACCATTATATACTTTTAACATGGCCATCACTGTTGACAGCTGCATAGAAACCGATACCTACCATGATACGGCCATCACTGTTGACAGCTGCATAGAAAACGATACCTAGCATGACACGGCCATCACTGTTGACAGCTGCATAGAAACCGATACTTACCATGACATGGCCATCACTGTTGGAAATTATAGCAACCTAATTTGATATAACTGTTATTGTTAGCTACTACACATAAATTCATACCTAGCTTGATATGATCAGTACTGTTGACAGCTGCATACAAACTGATACCTAGCAAGACACGGCCATCACTGTTGGAGATTATAGCAACCTAATTTGATATAACTGTTATTGTTAGCTACTACACACAAATTCATACCTAGCTTGATATGATCAGTGCTGTTGACAGCTGCATACAAACTGATACCTAGCATGACACGGCCATCACTGTTGGAAATTATAGCAACCTAATTTGATATAACTGTTATTGTTAGCTACTACACA